ACACATACAGAGGGAAAATGCTGCAGAGATACAGGGAGAATGCCACGTGGACATGAACGTGGTCATCTGTAAGCCAAGAAGTGAGAACAGGTGCAGCTCCTTCCCTCGCAGCCTCAGAGGTAACCAACCCCATTGACACCTGGATTCCAAGTATCTGGCCTCCAGAATTGTGAGGCAGCACTTTTCTGTTGCTTAAGCCATCCTGTTTGTGGTTCTTTCTTCTGACAGCCCTGACCCTCTTTTCTTCCCTATGCTTGTACCAGCAGGGTCCCTGCCTCCTTGTTCTACTCTCTACATCCCCTGGACACGGTCAATTCTCTTTTATCTTCAGGACTTTCCACAGGCAATCTCCTCAGCCTGGAGTGCTGCTTTCCTTAGCAGTTTGCCTGTCTAACTCCCTGTGTCATTAATGTCTTGGCTTAGGGGCTTCCTCCTCTGGAGAGTTCTTCCTGACCATCCATCCTTCCTCCTTGTCCACCCCCAGGACTTTATTAAATGCCTTGCTGGTAGCACATAGCATGCAATTATCAGACTACGCATTGTTCTCTATTTTCTTGTCTCCTCGCTTGATGGCAAACTTCTTGAAAGTAGGAGTTACCTCATAGAAATCTACTATTTCTGCCTTCTCAGCACCTAGCCCCATTTTTGGTACTAGCACCCCAACTTTCCTTTAGAAAAGCTCACCTTCCCTACTGTCAGTCCATGAGATTCAAATGATCCCACTCCATAGCTCAGTGCTGAGCAGGGAATCCAGACCCTGTGAATGCATTTATACCGCTTTTAGTGCCTCAGTCTGCACCCACCTGGCCTCATCACTGCACCCAAATTGCTCTCACCTTGATTACAAACCACCTTCTTATTATTAAATCAAATGAATACTTTTCATTCCTTATCTTAGTGGAACACAGGAGCATTAGAAGGAATTAAAGACCCCACTCTTTCCTGAAATTTTCTCCAGCCTTGTTGATAGGAAAACCATCGTCTCCTGCTTTTCTAACCACTCTCTCTCATTCTCCTTTGCCAATACCTTATTGGTAACATTGGGAAAAATTATACCCACTTCTCATGGCCATAGAGATGGGTTCACGGATGACCATGACCTGCTGGGACCACTGAGATTTCTGCTAGGACTCTTAGGACTGAGAAGCTCTCTTGCTGCGGGAATTGCTACACGTGGTACTGCTGGCAACCCATGACCTTGTTGATTCTACATGGGAGAGCTTGCCAGAAAGTAAGGCTGATGCAGGGGCAGAGAGAGCTGTGATAGGGAGATCAGTTCTTGGCTAAACCAGGGCTTGGGATGTTTGTCCATTCCAGGGCTCGTTTCACCGTGTGGTATTTCCCCTATGTGGTTTATATGTTCACCAATGACAAAATAATAGGCAGGAGTAAATTGAAGAGGAAAAAGTAGATTAAAAACTATGTCTTGCCAGGCCCAGTGGCTCACGCCTGTAATCCCAGCACTTTGGGAGGCTGAGGCGGGAAGATCGGAAGGTCAAGAGATCGAGACCATCCTGGCCAACATGGTAAAACCCCATCTCTACTAAAAATACAAAAATTGGCTGGGCGTGGTGACACTCGCCTGTGGTCCCAGCTACTCGGGAGGCTGAGGGGGAAGAATCGCTTGAACCCACGAGGTGGAGGTTGCAGTGGGCTGAGATTGTACCACTGCACTCCAGCCTGGCAACAGAGCAAGACTCCATCTCAAAGAAACAAACAAACAAAAAACACTAGGTCTTATTCAAGGAGTCTATACATAGAGGTCTTTTGATATACAATTTATCCTACATTATTATTCAATTTGCTCAGTTACTAAACTGATGAAAACATTGAATCGGCTCAGTTGCATACATGTGTGTGTATTTTAACGGGCGCATACATAACTTGAGAATCTGTTTTGCAAAAATTCTGATTTTATTAGTATGATCCATAGTAAGTATCAGTTCAGGCAGTGTGTGCAGTTCTGAAGATCGGGGCTTTGGAGGTGAGCAATCACAGCCTGACTCTTGCCTCTGCCATTTCTCAGTCATGTAACTTTAGGCCATTTAGGCAGCCTCTGAGCCTGGTTTCTTTATGTGCAAAAATGAGGATCATAATGCTACCACTTCACTGGGCTGTTATGGGGATAAAAGGAAATAGCACATATAAATAGCACTTAGCACAAGGGCTGGATACATCACACAGCCAAGAAAAAAAAAAGCTTTACATTTCTTTTTAAAATAAACATTTTATTTAAAAATATATGATTTTTATTTTTTTTAAAAAAGAACACATGCCAACTTTGGTATTTTAGCCACTGCTTTTTGTCTCTTCCCAGTAACCCACATTTCTTTCTGATCATGCATAATTGAGCCAAGGAGACCAAAAACACCACTCCATAGGTCCGCAGAGAACCTATACTTGCTCTTTTTTTCTTTACAAAGTGTCTCTTTGTGCTTCACTGAAGGAGGATTGTAAGCACCCAGCCATCTGTTGTCCTCCATTCCCACTGCAGGGCCATTGGAAAGGAACTCTGGGGAGCAGCGTGGGTTCCTTTCCTTTGGAAAACATTAAAATAGCTTCCAGGATCCCCATCATTATACTCCCTTTTTCCATGAACACACAGGAGCTAGGAAAACACTTCTAGGAAATGCATGCTCCAATGTTCATGATGGGAACACTTGGTTACAATAAGCACAGGAGGACTTCAGGGGTCGGCTGGTCTTGACCCACAGGGAAAATCGCTGATTCCCAGAATCAAAAGGGAACTTACTCACATGTTATTGCATTCAGTGAGTCCTATGACAATTTCCCTAGCAGATGATAATGACATTCTTCCCAGATCTCATCCTGTCTTGAAATCATCTCCCCATGGGTAGTCTCCATCTAGCCAGGGTTTCTCTATAAACCTGGACTCTAGAATCAAACCCAGCTCCTAAACACAACTGACCAGATCTTGGCACTATAGGATTGTCATGTTCCGGGACCTGGGTCTGTATGTCTGTCAGTATCGTCTGTCTAATAAGGCATTGGCAATTTCGACCCTGAACCAACCTCTCGGTTCATATTAAATTTATGGGAAAACCAAGAACCCAGACTGTTTTCACTGCAAGTTTTCTCCTATCTGATATCTGATAACAAACTGTGTACCAGCAATTGGGAACCTCCTTCTGTGAGGAAGGCAGCTGAGGCCTGAAGGGGGAATCAAATTGCCTTCATATTCTTAGATGCTTTTCTTTTAAGGGCCAGATGCTCACCAGTTAGTGTCCCTTTTGTCTATAAAGCTGCTATGATAAATAGGGATAGGACACAAAAACGCTTCCTCCACCCTTTCCTCATTTTCAAGGGGCTTTCTGTATCTGGCAATCAAAACAAATCTTCAAACTCTCATGGATGTTTTAAATGATGGGAGGTATTAAAAAAATCTCCAAGGGATAGACTACTTCTGTTTGTCCACAAAGAAAAAGATGAGAATTTTGGAGTGAGAGATAGCTTTTAGCTAAAAAGTGATCCTCGACTCCACCCTCCCTTTTGGAAAAATGAAAACCCCTTTTTATCATAGCTAACAGGTTTCTAGTTTGAGGATGGGGAGATTCTCAGTGTTCTTGCATGTAGGAAATACAACTCCCTGGATCATTCAAATCTGAACAATCTGTGCTGAATCAATTTATTATTGGATATCTGAAGATTTGTGCCCATGGTGGGCATCAAATATTAGCCACTGGATGAGTAAATTTTATGTGGGAGTTTTTAGCCAGACCAGAATCTGTTTCTTAAAAAGCTGACTGACTTTAAAATAAATAATATTTGGAAAGGACTACCTTGAATGCTTGGGTTAGGTTTTATTGATTCTTTTTTCAGGTTGGAAGTGAATGTTTTTGAATGGCAAAAGGCTGACAGTTCTCAGACCCTTGATTATTCAAGTGAAGGCTGTCTTGGCTTCCTCAATTACTGGTACAGTTATTGTAATGCTAAGAATGACTTCTCCTTAAAAAAAAATTCTGATTTACTTCTCATAATGTGACATCTTAGCTGAATTGAGAAGTTCATACGTAGATCAGAAAGTTTGGCCCTTTCTTTCTTCCCTCCTTTCTTTCCTCTCTTCTTTCCTTCCTTCCCTTCTCCCTCCTTCTCTCCTTTCCCCTTCCCATCTCCTGTCTTCCCTTCCTCTCTCCCTCCCCCTTCTTCCTCCCTCCCTCCCTCTCTTTCCTCCCTTACAATGGAATTTGTGTTGTCTCAACAACATTGTTGGAAGCGGGGCCACTACTATTAAGCACGGGCTTACTGCAAGTGCTTGCACGAATACATTTTCCGACTCTTTTAGATAAGGATGAATCTACCGGATTGCAGCAGCACTGGGGATAGCTGCAAATGTCTTCAAGTCTTCATCACCACGGGGGTTCAGAGGTCTTAAGAAAACTACACGTGGTCATCTTCAGGTTCTAAGAGCATTAGGGAACTTGAATGTGACCATCTTTATAAGTCTCTGTACATCTTTTAGTCATGCCTGATTTGTCATCACAAAAGACACGACTAAAAGTTTAAAACAATTTAAAACAGAATTCAGTGGGAGACAAATTCATGGATTATCTGAGCTACTGGAAGCAGCCAACTTCACCAATTTTCTTCCAATTATCTCCAGTTTTCTCCCTCAAATTTCATGTCTGAGCTATGAAGACAGAGGGTTAATGTGGTTTGTGGAGACTGTAGAAGGAGATTGAGAGCAGTTATCCAGTGACCTG